GAGGAGAGAAAGTCGGTTGCACCACCAGGGGCTATACACTGTCCATTAGCAGCATTATCCATCAGATTTATTGCAGGAGTGTTGCTCACACACTGTGTTGTGATTGTACCAATGACAATGAACAGGAAAGTTTGTGGCTCCCAATGATAAAGTCTTCTTTTCGAGTAATCCTATAGATTAACAATATAAATCAATGATTCAGCAGAAATATAAATGAATGACATCACTCATTCAGATGACCTTATGATAGCGGGCCACCTAGATCTACACAATTTTGTCAATACTGAAGCTATCAGAAACCTTAAATGTAGTAAGTACTTGCTAAAGGAGTCTTGCTGGAATTGACCTTTTTTCTTTGTTTGACTGAAACCTCAACTGAGAGACAATTTTGTGCAATAAAGCAAAACAACAACAAAGACACTGTATTAAGTGTACCTGTAAAAACATCACACATATAGCATTGTGTATGTATGCTTAAAATCTTCTAAAAGCTACTTTATGACATCTATACTATTTACTTTCACAAAAAAAAGACAAAGAAAAAAAAAACAGGCATATTATTTTTCTAAAAGTGCCATCAATGAAATATATGCCCCAAATGGAGGTTCTCTGAATGTTTAAGCTTTTAATAACCTTCAGCTTCCGAGGAAGTAAATCAAAACCCACCAAACAGACATTTAGCCAAACACTCTGTCCAAATACCTATAAACACACACACACACATCTGTCTCTAGAGGATGTCTATAGAGGAAGATGCATTCAAACTGACAGCAGTTACATTGTTGGAGATCAACCACTTGCTGTAATGTGGGTTATTAGCAGACATTCCTACTCAACTTCTTTATTCAGCGACAGATCATATGAGTGATCTCATCATATGTGTGCAGACTCCCTTTAGTAACCAACACATTGCTTAACTGGCCATTTGCATAAAGTTGAGGTTTCTGTCACTTGCGTCGCCTCAAATTGCCAAATCTAATTGAAATGGCAAATCTTTGCTTTGTAAATCACTGTCAATGTGAATAACCTTTATGTTCATTACAAACTTCAATAGATTTGATACCGAGATCAACTACATCCTCAGCTTATATTCAGGTAAACTGTAGAGAAGTCAATATAATAATGACACACTCTGTCACAGACTGCATTTTGTCTTTTGGAGTTATATAAGCTGTGAGCTTAAACCGAGACAGCAAAAACTGATATGAATGTTTCTTTCATTGACAGCTTTGATCAGTGCAATAGCCAGCATTCTGGTAGATGAGGTTGAATGAAGTAAGAGAGAAAAAGGATGTGAGCGTGTGTGTGGGTGAGAGAAAGAGTCTTCGTCTTTCTTTCCCTTTATTGATGTGAATTGTGAAGCATTCCTGCACTGGTATCCTTTGAGGCCCTTACAACGAGCAGCAGCATGATGGTAAAAAGCCATCAGAAAAAAAAAAATGTATATATATAATAATAATAAAAAAATAAAGAGATGAACCTTCCTCTTTTTTTGTTTTTTTAGATATGAATGTTTTGGTTGCCTTTGGCTGTAAATAGTTGTGACAAAGTCACTAAAACGGTGGTAGTTCAGTACCCAACAGTTTATGAGCCATACATTAAACAACAAGATGGAAACAACGTTAGACTAAATATATTTTAGTTTTGCTGGAACTTCAACACCACTAGAAGTTTAAAGTGTTAATGAGTTAAAAATGTTAATCTCTCTCTCAGCATTTTGAGAGCGAAACGTCACTACACACTGAGCTCTGCTCTTATAAATCACATAACCATGTATTTAACGTTCAGTTATATTTGTCAGGTGATTGGCATCCTCCATTGTTAAAATGATTGCTCAAACACCTCTAGATGGAAAATAAAATGAGTATTGCAATTTCAACCTCTTGAATGACCAAAAGTGTGATACTGTCCTCAAGACTTTCCTTAAAAATGTGGTACTGGCTTGAGGAAGCAGACTGCTGCCTTGCCAAGATTTGAGAGACTCTATGCTTGTATAAATTTGATTAAGGGCTAAGTTGATAATAAACATAAGAGTGTTTTAATAAGTGCTACAAATATTGTAAGTGTGTGAATGTATTTGGGTTACTGGAAGGCTTGGTGGAAGCGAGGCAGGGTGGTGGTTGTATTCAGAGATGGTGGATGTGTATAACTTCTTGTGAGTGCATTGGTTTGTGACAGTGTGTGTGAATGTGTGATTGTGTGAAGGAGGCTAAGAGGCTCTGGTGTGTCTTGCATGGGAGTGGTCAGTAGCCCCTCCTCCTGGCTGTAAGCCACTCCCAAAGTAGGCCCTGCCCCTTGGTTGTAAGGCAGAAAATTAAACAGTGGAGACAGGAAGTCCAGGGACGATGTCATCTCTCCAGTCACCGTTGCAGAATCACTCAGCTTGGGTGTATCTTCAGCCTGTAGCTCTAGGAGATAACTTTCAAGTTCCGCCCTCAGTGGCAGCGGTGGCGAGTAAGAAGCATGACCTATTGGATACCTCAGAGAGAGTGGCCCAGATGCTGGCGAGGATTGTGACTCTATCAAATCTACAGGCTCTGCCTTAATACTCAGCAGCTCATGAGCGTGGCTTTTCTTAACATGGCGGGTAAGATGGTCCTTACGGCCGAATCGTTGTGCGCAGTACTGGCAAAGGAAGTCCTTGCGTCCTGTATGCACAACCAAGTGGCGTCGCACATCCTTACGGGTGTAAAAACACCTTTCGCAGTGCTCACACTGATGACGTTTTTCCTTAGTTGTGGTAGCACTTTTCCCTGCATGCCCACGGAGGTGCTCCAGCAGTAGGGGAGTGCTTGGATATGACTGCAGACACACCTGGCAGGTGAGGTCTCCACGGTGTGCGGCGTGAAGGGCTTGGTGCCTTCGAAAGCCTAGTTTGGTGTTGTAGCTCTTGCCGCATTCTGTGCAGCTGAAAGCCTCCTTGTTGGGGTTGTGTGTGTGGAGGTGGTTCTTCAGGTGATCTTTACGGTGGAACATCTTCTCGCAGTAGCTGCACTTGTGTGTCTTTTCTGGCGAGTGTGTGGCCATGTGCCTATGGACACAAATATGCATTAGCGTGCATTGACCATATAAGAAACTGTTAATGTCCAAATGTCATAAAACTAAATTGAGTATATCTGGTCTTGCTTAATAAGATTTCACTAAGTTACAGGACCAACATTCTCATCTAGCAATCAATCAATCAATCAATCAATCAGATTTTAGGTTTTAGCTTGGGATGGGATTGCAGTTTGGGGCTTTAATATTCCTTTCAATCAATTATTACCTTCAGATATTAGGTGTAAATTAGGATTAGGGCTCCAACAATTTAATAATATAATTTCCCTCTGAATTTTGTGGTAGTTAAAGGGATAGTTTACACACAAGTTTGATGATGTTGTTTCGACCCGATTTAGTTTCAGAATGATCTTATTTTGTGTTCTGCAGAAGAAGGAAATACAGGTTTGAAACAACAAGAGGGTGAGTAAATGAGAGAATTTTTAATTTTAAGTGATCTATCCTTAAAATGGTTAAGATTAAAGGAGTCATATGATGCTATTTTAAAGATCATTATTTTGTGTATTTGGTGTAACAGAATATGTTGACATGCTT